TATGGATAATTTAATATCCTCTTTTATTCAGAAGGCTTTGGTGGATAGATAGAAGATAAGCTATCTTCAAAATGAATTTTGAGTGTGTGTTTCTTATCCATGTGTTATAAATATTAATGCATGTGCAGGCTGTCCGCTCGAATCTCCCTTGTGATGTATTAGGGCTTTATATATATTAGAAAAAGAAGAAATGGATTTAGATCTGTGTGCAGCGGTAATGAGGTGCCACAGATAATCCTGTCTTTGACACCCAATGCAACCAAGGAATCTTAATGGCGCTAATTCAAGCAGCATGCATTCAAAGGAATTCATATACAGAGAGAGACATTTCCATTCTTTAATCAGTCCAGTTAGTCCCGTCAGACCTTCACACCATCCCAATCCTTTCCACCCAAAATGATAAAGAAATCAGAGAAAACCAGAAACAAAAAAACCTCGGACAGTGAGAGCTTTTCTGCAAAATTTGGCATATGTATATATTGCATTATTACAGTTTTACAAACAAATGTACAACAAATACATCATAAATAGACTCTTGTTGTGAGACGGTGAGGAGCCAGCTTGCGTGGGTTGTTTTTTCTTCTTCTTCTTCTTCCAGTGAGCTCGTACGCAGGGGTTTGAGCCGTGACTTTACGAGGAGTATTCATACTCCTCTGCACTGCGGCGGCCGAAATCCATCCACCCCATGTAGTCCCTGTCTGCTATCCGGTGGTTGGCACTCAGGCCGTTGCTTCTACTGTTTGCCGAGGAGTTTCTACGCACAGAACCTGGGAGGAGAAAGTGAGGAGGAAGAGGAGGGATGGAGGAACAGGAGGGATGGAGGTGATAGAAAGAGTGGGAGGAGGAGGGGAAAGAGAGCAGGAGGGAAATTAGTATTCCTCCGAGTAAGTGGAGCATCAGATATCTTCACTCATAGTAGTCCTACTTTTGGTTATTTCTGCGTGGAGACAGCTAGAAGAAGCAAGCAAATGTGGTGCAATGACAGAGTGACTCAAATCTGATTTTTATATTATGTGAGACAGAATTGTAATAACTAAAACCTCATTATTTTATTCATATCTAGTGTAATGTGGCCATTTTTGTATTCTGTGAGATTGGATACAAGTGAAGCTCTCACAAACCAAGCCAATAATAGTCTAATGAACTAAAGTGGATTTTCAATGATTGATGCTTTTAATATAAACATTTGCATTACTTTTAAATGTCCTTAAACAATAATTTAGCAGTTAGTGGAGTTCATAACCAAATCACACTTTCAAAATGTTGAATAATTTGGTGTTGATGTCTTATAGGGTGTATTTAAAACTCCACAAATGACACTCATAGTGTTTTATTTCCATTTGGGTTGTATATTGTTTTGATTTGGTTTTCTGATGAGTTTTTTGCTGTGAAGCTGGTTTGCTTTTACAAATCTTAAATGTATTTTTCTCATTATTTCTTCCTCTCATTCACTAACACACTACTACAGAGGAGGGGATGTCCAACAACAGCTGGACTTTAGGGGTGACAACATACCATTACCCTCTCTTCCTTGCGTGTCCATGCGTAATCAGTGCGTGCTTTAATGTGCAATGTGTGTGTCCTTTCCCTTTACATTTTAACCTTGTTCCTATTTCTTCTTCTTCTTTTCTCTTCGCTGCACTGTGACCTCAAATCTTGTAAAACATCTCAGAATCTTCAACTTTTTATTCCAAGCAAGTGAAGCAGGAGTACTATCTGTTTGGTAATCGATAGAGCGCTCACAGAGATGCTGCTTACACTCCACCCACATCCTCCTACGCAACACACACACACACACTGACACACGCACACACACATATGCACCGACACGTCCATAGACACACAGTGTTTCAGTTCCCTGGTGTGCTGAGACGATTGGCTGCAGAAGGCTCGACAACGACACCTCCTACACCGAAGCAGGCAAGTGAGCAGCGAGCACACGATGAAAGACACCCTCAAGTCAACACATTCCCTTAGAGTATTACATATTACATTCAATGTGCCCTCTGACATGTTTCTAGACTTCTCTGTCTGATTGAACAGTTTCTGATTTGCATTTTTGTGCCGAAGATTATGCAACGGCACATAGAAACTTGAAATGGCTGAAAACGTAGAAAACTTTTCAACTAATCGCATGCTAATGCATTTCACTGACTGTAGATGCAGGAATCGTTTCAGAAAGAGACGGAGACACACAAGAAGTCAGGTTTTGAATGACGATTCTCCACAGTGAGTATAAATGTGGAGGCTCAGTCACTGGTACATTTTTATATACAAAGCCATGTTAGGGAAAGTTCCATCCTACATCTGCTCCCTGATCTCACAGCGAATTGTAAGTGGCTACTGCCTGAGATCGCATGCTGTGGTTTTATTAAATGTGCCAACTGCTAGGACTGTCTTAGGGAAGATAGCTTTTAGATGCGCAGCTCCTCTGTCTTGGAATAGTCTGCAATTGAAATGGAAACTGAGCAATCTGGTGCCACTAAATGTTTTTAAAGCTTGGTTGGATGCTACTCAATCGGAAGCTGTTGGTACCTGCTCATGTGGATAGTTATGTAAATTGTAATCCCTGTAATGATGCTGTAAGATGTCCTTTTTGTTGTTCTGTTTATGTTTTTATGTTTCAAGTGGAACCTACTTGAGCAGGTCTCCCTTGAAAAAGAGATCAATGATCTCAATGGGATACACCTGGATAAATAAATGTTTGAAATTAAATTAAATGTGTGTGTTTACGGTCAGAGCCTCAGTCCTGCTACACGGGTAGAGAGACACGAGCACTAAACATGAAGAACTATGAAAGGGCGAAGAGCTTGTTTTTTTTTTTACCATTGATGGGGAAAAGATATCAACTTGGAGTCACTTGGGGCGAATAAGTGAAATAAGATGGTGCAATGAGAATGGCCGGAAGGCTGCACACTCTAATACTCTCTCTTTCAAACCACAAAAGCTTTTCAGAGCCACTAATTCATTTTACAAAGCTGCGTGTGCGCTGATTCCAGTAATTAGCAAGTCGGAGGGGAGGAGAAGGGCAGTGAAAAGCAAGTCTCTGTCTCTGAAAATGAAGGTGTTTCTTTTTTGCCAGATGTTTTTTCTTTAAATATCCACAAACATCAACACTGAACAAAACTGAAATGTTGACTTTAATCAAATATATCAAGTCAAAAAATGTCCCATAAGTGTATTAGGTCAGTTGAAAGTAATAATATTAAGTTGAACCTATTATTTTTTATTACTGCTTTCAACTAACCTAATACAGTTATGTGAAATCTGTTGACATTTATTTAAAGTCAACGTTTCAGTTTTTTCAGTGACCCCCTATCCTCCAGGTACAACAAAAGATGGCAGCAATGACATGCGAACTAATAATATAGACACATTCACACACCTTTCCTGGAGGAGATGAGTCTTGCCAGCAGCTCTCCGAGGTTTGCTCGGGAGTCTGCGTCCTCTTCGGCCAGAGGCAGAGCTTTCAGCTGGGGGACAGAGCGGCTGTGTTGGAGGTGAGGCTCTCCCAAGGTGTGGGTGTCCGCCTCCAGGAGAGCTGCTCACACAAACACACAAGAGCAGATGTCAGATATGGGAACGTTTAATGAAAAAGTGTCACTCTTTTCCGAGCCAGTGGGGATAAACGCGTACCTTCAGATGCAGCGGACATGGAGCGGTGGCCCTCGTCTAGAGGCTGGGAGGAGAAGGGGAGCCCTAAACAGCTCGTACATAAGACCGCCAGCACGACACACACACATAGCCCTGCAGTCATCTGAAACACACAGAGGGAAAGTTTCATTACTCAGAAGCAGTGACAGACAGCAGGCGTCTCCTGACTCTTTTTACACACTTAGAAACTACAACTACGACCGTTTGCCAGACAAGTGAACGACTGCATGGCAAAAAGAAATGTGAAATACAGAGAATAAAATTCACACATCTTCCAGGGGCACAGCACGCATCAAACTGGACCGTGATATCCTGAGCACAATTCTAACAAGTCAAATTGACCCAATTTTCAGCAGGGAAATAAGCTCTTATTCCCACCTTTCTTTCGGGGAACATCTCTAGAAATACATTCATGAAATAAAAGGAAAAAGGGAAATTATCTTTTAAAACACATTTGATGTAAGAACAAAATAGACATATTGTAGTGTTAAAATATAGATTTAAGTCTTAACAGTTCAAGGTAAAACATTTGTACTAAATATATAAATGTTCTCATCTTTTCCTTTCATCTATATGTTAGCTATAAACATTGGTTTAACTAGACTTATTATAAAGTAGAGATAATTCGTTCACAATAAAAAAAAAAACATTGCATAAATGCCAAAATCTCTGACCGGTTGTATGATATAAGAAATAAAAAGCAGCTTACCTTGAGAAAGAGGTTCAGCGTGTCAGAGAGTGAGGAGAGCACTTCTCTGTTGAGTGGGAAGGATGCCCCTTTTATATGCCACGCTCAGAGCTGTGTGTGTGTGTGTGTGTGTGTGTGTGTGTGTGTGTGTGTGTGTGTGTGTGTGTGTGCCTCAGCGTACATCCTGTGTATTCCTCAGTGTGTTTGCAAGCCTAATTCGAGCATATTTTCTATAACCTCAACATAACAACATCGTGCTTCAGTGTGTGTGTGTGTGTGTGTGTGTGTGTGTGTGTGTGTGTGTGTGTGTGTGTGTGTGTGTGTGTGTGTGTGTGTGTGTGTGTGTGTGTGTGTGTTTATCTGTGTGTAATAAATGTTTGTTGTGCACATAACAGTGAATCATCAGAATCAAAAGCATAACCTAAATGTTTCTTATTTTATTTGACATACATGTATTTCTTATGAGTTACTGATTACTGACAGAATGATGCACACTTCAACTGCTGTCTTGAAAACTGTGCGTGTGTGTGTGTGTGTGTGTGTGTGTGTGTGTGTGTGTGTGTGTGTGTGTGTGTGTGTGTGTGTGTGTGTGTGTGTGTGTGTGTGTGGGAGCACAGCAGGACTCCCAGCAGATTGCACCCCCCCCCTCCTCCATTCCTGTGAATATTTGAGCAGCGTTGTTTTCCTTTGTTATAACACTTTTGATGTCTTTGAAGGTTTTGAGGGAAACTGAAGACTTTTCTCTCATTATATTCATTTCGAACAGACGAAAAATGAATGTGTCAGCTGTTGTGACTTTGAAGCATTTCTGCGGGAGCTCTGGGAAAATAAAATAACTGATTGGGTCCCAATTAAATTCAGTTTCAGTCTAATGTGATAGCTTCCATAACAGGACACGTTTCATTCAAATTCAATTAATAGGTCAAACTAATAGATTTATTTATAGACAGAAGTATATTTGTTCTTATTGTGGGGTAAGCTCACATTAAACAAAGGCAGCAATTACTGTGGAGTATAACACATACAGAGCTCCAACACCACGTCGCCTTTCTTCTATTTTAATGCCATGGGAAGCTTCGACATTTTTCCCAAACCTGCAAGAAATTCTGTGTTCAGCTACTTATATATTTTTAAAAGGTGCTACTTCTGGGTGTTGCAAATGATATAACTTTGAGTATTTAGACTTGTACGATCACCACCGACTCTAAGGACATGAGAGGGTCCCATTTTGGCATTTTATCGATTAAGTGGTTTATCAATAAAACTCGCAAACAAATTCATAGATGTATATATTGTGGGACTATAACGATCATTGTATTATTGAAATTGTTTCCAAATTATTGTTTTATTTTTTTTAAATTGTATTTATATTTGTTGAGGTTTCATTATACTCCCAAATAAAGGCTAAACAACACAGGGTCCTACATTTAGCTGTATGCAACCAATAGCATCTCTTCTACCACACAAAGCTTTCTGTTGAATATTTCAGTCTCCAAGCCGACCTAACTAACCAAATAACCCCGATGACACCGTCAGGGTTTCTAAGGTTGGGTTTCTGGTCTCTTTTCTTTCTCGTTGACCTCTCCTTTGGTTTGTTTTCAATTGATGGACTCGGTCTCCCTTTACTTCCTGCCTTCACAGATGCAAATGAGTGTGCAGGAAAGCCCTGCGTGAACGCTTACTCTTGCAAAAATTTGATTGGCGGCTATCTCTGCGACTGTTTTCGGGGATGGTCCGGACAAAACTGTGGCATCAGTCAGTATTCACCTCGTCTAAAAGTCACTTCTTAAATGTCTGCCCTTCCACTGGCGTCCTCTTCTTCTGGCTACCTCTCACTTCCTGGACTCACAACATAGGTGTAGCTTAGCGTCACTCCCTTTCCCACATGTGGTAACCCGTTTGCTTTCTCGTCTTGGCAAACAAATCATATTCGAATATGCATGACCAGTCCCTCTTTCTGGATCCAACGCATGCCCAGTTACAACCTATACAAGGTCTTTTTGGCACTCTCTTGGCTTCACTAGTGATTTCTTTTCCAAATTCTGATAATCCGTGCACATCCCACATTGTAGGTTGGTGGAACATTTAATAAAACATGTTATTCATAATGTTTTATAATGAAATGTAACTTTTGCCTCCTGTTCAGACATCAACGGCTGCCATGGTCAGTGCCAGAACGGAGCAACATGCAAGGTACGGATGTTTTTTAATTAAATGTATATTCCACCTCCGTTCGTCAACCTTGTGTTTGTAGTTGCATCTTTAAAGGTTCACCTATTGTGCAACATCCACATGTCTCTTCTACATCACCATGTGTCCCCTCTTCTTCATGTCTCTTCTACATCACCATGTGTCCCCTCTTCTTCATGTCTCTTCTACATCAACTTGTGTCCCCTCTTCTTCATGTCTCTTCTACATCAACATGTGTCCCCTCTTCTTCATGTCTCTTCTACATCAACATGTGTCCCCTCTTCTTCATGTCTCTTCTACATCAACATGTGTCCCCTCTTCTTCATGTCTCTTCTACATCAACATGTGTCCCCTCTTCTTCATGTCTCTTCTACATCAA